AGACACAGACACAGACACATGCAATACCACCAATTTCGTAAAGTTATCATCGAGTCGAGTGATAATGAAAAACCGTTCAATAAAACATTATACAAAATAAATAACAACAACCACAATAAAAAAAATAAATAAAAAAAATAAAAAACAAATAAAGAGACTATCATAAACTGTGCAATCATCATCTGTGTGTAACGCAACAGGGGGAAAAAGCAATAAACAATAAATGCTGTGCAAACCAAATTGAAATCCAATAAATCCATTAACGCAATTGTTTTTTTTTTTTTTCTTTCTTTCTTACTTTTTTTTTTCTTTTCGATCGCCTTTATTAAGACGTTAAATCATAGTTGAGCTTGAATCACTTTAACTACGATAATTTAAAGAACTAAGCATAAAATTTGTTACGTTAGTTATTGAGGAAATAAAATGTGAAATTGCCGAAACATTTTAATTGGAATCTAAGTGAAAATAACAGAGAAAATCTGTCTTAAGCAGGCCGAAGATAGCATGCCCTCCCAGAGAGCCGAAGCGGACGAACGTGTTGTTCCTTTGGCAGCTATTTGATATACTCGTAGTAGTAGCATTAGTTTGATAGGTATGATTACATAGTGGTATCTTGATATACATCCAATTCGATAAGACTATATATCTTAATAGTAGAATAAAAAAAACCTGTTGAATAAATGAGACGATTACGATTTGTGAAAGTCAGCTGATTGTCTGCTTAGTGCTTGAGTACAGGGTATATCTCAGTCAAGAGCACTCTTACTTGGCATTCTTGTTTGCTTTCGGTTCTTATAAGCACAATCCACTTGAAACAAATAAAGACAAAAACTTCAGCTGGCGCCGACAAATATTACAAAAATATTTCAACTTAACTGGGAAGTGGCCTTTTTTGCCATTCCGATTGACGATTGGTGGTGCATCCTATGCACAATTTGAATTTTTAATTAAAATCACTTTCAAAAATACCGCTAATCATTTAAACAAAAATCGAAATCGAAAACGAAACGAATCGAGAAAATCGGGGGGGGCAGGTGGAGATGGAGTCGCTGAATACGAAACACATTCAGGTAAATCAACAATAATAATATGCGCACATTTTCGCATATTTGATTCACTCTCTCAATGGGGGGCGTGGCAGTCGCCAATCCATCCATTGATCAATCCCATCGATCAGTGTTTATATTCATTCAGCTCCTATTCACTCACTGATCGAACTAGCCAAATTTACGCAACCCATTTACGCACATCTGTGTCTGTCTGCGTGTGTGTGTGTTGTGTGTGTGTGTGGTGTGTGTGTGAGTTCATCAGTGAAATTCAAAAGACGAATACCTCCCAAATTGCGATTTCTTTTGGACCCCGGGGCGTATTGTTGTTTGCTACAATTTCCAATCAAAAGTTGCACAAAACAAAATGACTAACTAACTTATCAAACTATTAGTAAACCTTAACTCCCCCACCTTGCCCCACACCCAGCCCCAACCCAATTCAGAGAGTTTTTGTGTAATCCGCAATCGCTCCATCAATGCCACTAATTAACCAATATTCCATTTGGGTGTAGCTGTCTGTTTATATATCTATATATATATATATATATATATAAATGTGTGTAAATAACACATGCCGAGTATATTTGCCAATCTGTACAATTTATGTTATGTCTATATACAAAAACTCCCAATCCCAAAACCTCTTAAATTCTGATCTTAGGTCAATTACTCTGCTAAGGATTGCTTTCCTTAAGATTATTTGGATTTGGAAATTTCCTACATCTTTTTTGAAATCGTATTCTTCTTGGTCTTGTTATACGATCCGGTAGTGAGTTATGTCTCCACATAAAAAGTATACTTCAATTCGAGGTTTTTTTATTTTTATTGGTGACCAGCTTTACGTATGAAAACAATTACAAAAGGTATTTCAAATTTTGGTTATGATATACGATATATGAATTTAGATAATTTTAACTGCTACTTGAAAGGTGTTGAATTTGGGTTGTGCATTTCAAACGGTGATTTTCCGGTTTCTCTACTAGATATTGACTTAATTCAAATCGAATCCTAATCTTTTTAGGTAGGCCTTTCAATGCGATCCCCATTTCGATTGATCATTAAAGCAATAACCAAATTGATTACTCGATAATCAAGCCTGAGCCGTTTTAAGTTTATGACTAGTTCTACATACATGTATAGGAAATCAAGTATTTTCAGATATATGATATTTAAACTCCAGGAAGCATCAACTAGATAATAGCAATTGGTTGGTTCGTCAGGGTATTTGGCCATCGTCATATTTGCAATGAGGCTTTCGTTTGTTGTTCGCTTAAACTGTAAAGTGTTGCTTGTTTTTAATGCGATCTGCGAGCTAAGTTTAAGTTAACCGAGTTTAGCTGCAGCTTAATTAAGGCCCACTTCGTCGCCGTTGTATCATTGAACGTTACATAAATGGCAATAGCAAAAAAAAAAAAAATATAAAAAAACAAAAACAAACCAGAAAAATATACAAAAACCAAAACCGAAACGCGATTGCGTATATGCAATTGTTTTCCTTTTCTTTTCTTTAATTTAATTAAACTTCTTCTTTTTTTTTTCTTTTTTTATTTGCTGCTGTTGTTGGTCAATTCGAATTCGAAAAAATAAGGTTTTCAATTTTATTATTATTGTATGAATGGTGTTTTTAGCGAGAAAGTTTCGCTTCCAATTCCAGAAGTGTTAATTGGCTTAAAGAAAGTTACACGCTTTGGCATAAGTTAAAATGTATAGGAGATTTTGTTATTCACATATTAATATGTAAGCTATTAAAGGTATAAGTTACATGATTGGCCATATAAAGGCTTAGGCTATAAATATGTGGAGGAGGAGGGCTTTAAATATAAGCACTAAACAGGCGCTAAAAGTCCTAATTAGATATGTGTCAATGATGAGGTCTAAATTATAATGCATGTGAAATATAAATTATGAAACATTTGACTTGGGTATTAGCCATAAAATGTCAGAGAGTAAACCAAATCGATTTCGAATTGCAGAGTTTCAATTGGTTAATTTCCGTTAGCGATCTGTGAAAGAACCTGGGAATATTTCGGATTTATAAATACGTATTTAGCTGTCTAAAGGCATAAAGCATTATTAACTTTTAACTTTTCTGAATAATAGTGCATATGAAATATAAATGATAAGATCTTGTGCAAATGCAAACCTTGTTCAAACCTCAATTGGATGATCTTCGATAAAAAAAAAATGGTTAGTTTTCAAGTCTGGGGCAGTTATACGGAGCAGAGTTCACTGTGGATGTAACGATATCAGGAACGAGTTCTGCGACTCCAGCAAGGTCAACAAAAATGATTGAATTCGCACGGTTCGACTGCATGCAACAACTTATTCAACAGCAACAGCAACAACAACAACAACAATTTGATAAATAGATAAGCGATAAGTTTTATGGTCGTCTCTATAGCCTTGGATATTTTGGGAATGTGCAATAAGCTCAGACAGCATTTAGCCGCAGCCACAAGACCGTTGCGGTGATGGCATTAATCTTCCTTGCTTGCCACAAAAGCTGTGGCAGCTTTGCTTGCTGCTGCTGCTGCCGCTGCGCTCCTTGAAGTTCACAGTTCAATTGAGCTTACCGCTAATTAGCGTTCAGTAGTTGGCTTTTGCAAGTGGCGGTGTGCAGGGTGGTTGTGGGGTGTGTGGTGTGGGGTTGGCGGTAGGCGCATCATCATCAACAGCAGCAGCAGCACCAGCAGCAGCAGCTTTTGTGGGGGAGGGGCGGGTGTGGGGTGTGGGTTGGCAGCTTAGCATGTTGCCTGTTGGCCATTGCGGCTGCCGCTGGCAACACCATTAACCTGGCGCCCAACGGCAATATTTCTTCTGCTACTTCTTTTTTTGTTGGTTGTCTTTTTGAGGTTGTTTTGCTGCTGTTGTTGTTGTTGTTGTTGTAGCTGTTGTTGCTGTTGTTGAGGCTTTTAAGTAACCGACCGCCGCGAGTCACTTTTATGTTTTATTTATTGATTTTATTTGTATAGTTTTTTGTAGTTATTGCTGCTGCTGTTGGCGGTTGCTGCTGCTGCTGCTGCTTGTTGTTGCTGCTGCTGCTTGTTGTTGCTGGTTGCTGCTGTTGTTGTTGTTGCTATTGTGGTTTTGTGTCCCATAATTATGTCAGCTGCAGTTCCATAGTCATAAATTTACGCCGTTCGTTCGTTTTAATGTACATTCATTCATTTCTACAGCCAACCAGTGGAGCATTCATTGTCTGTAAGATGAGGGGTTTGGTGGGAGCAGTTGGGGTTGTTGGGGTGGATTATTCAGGGTATGCAGGCATGCTGCTAAAGGTAGGTGCAGGCGTGGAGGGGCGGAGACAACCAGGCGAAAAGTGGCAATCCATTAAGTGCAAATATGTATTTGGAATGCAGATTTAATGGAATATGCACATATTGAAATTTATGATACTCCCCGATCTGTCTGCGTGTGTGTGTGTATCTGTGTGTGCTTGTGTGTTTTTTATTTGTCTTAATCAGTTGCCTGAACGTGCAGTTCATTAGTTATGTTCACCTATAAATTCTGGAATGTTCGGGTTTTCGTTTTCTGGCTAGAATTTTGCATTTATTCACGCATTCATTCACTCAGACTCACAACTGTGGCGGATAAATACATTTTACAGCTGACATCTAATTTACATATTCAACTCGGCGCATTAAAAATGCTTGCAAATGGTGCGCTAAATTAGAAAATAATAATTATAATAAATAACGAGTGGAGAATAAATGGCCATTACATTCTATGAAAACATCTATTCTAGTTTTTAGTGTCCACAAGCAATATTTAATGGCGACATTTATTTTTTCATATTCAACACTTAATTTATTTGAACTTGTATCGTATTTCAAAAGATCCGTAAATCGCAGAACGAATCACAGTTTCCAAACGAAATCTGATCTTATTTTGAGCATAAAAATTGTTTTTTATTTATTTTTTAATTCCCTTCAACTTTAATTCTATTTGCAGAACTTGAGAACAATAATAAAAAATAAAAAAATACGGAACGAGTGAAGGAAAGAGGCGAGAAGAAGGGAAGGGAATAACGGTACGTTTCCCTCACTCGCTCAGCTAAACGAACGAGACAATGCATGACTCCCAGCAACCATAAGAAGAAGCAGCAGAAGAAGTCCGTGTCAAATCTGTGCACGATAACTAATAACTAATTAATCTACTCGCGACACCCCCACAACCCCCGACAACCACACAAATCTGAAACGAGAGACTCAAATCGATATAAAATCAACTGATCAACTAGCAAAAGATATAGCGAGAGAGAGAGAGAGAGAGAGAGAGGAGCAGATATCGGCGGCATGGCAATGCTCGAGGCGCGGCCGTACAGGCCCTTCAAGTCCAGCGAGGAGTATCTGGAGGCGATGAAGGAGGATCTCGCTGAATGGCTGAGCATGCTCTACCCGGAACTGAGCATCAATGCGGAAAACTTTATGGATCGCCTGGACACAGGCGTTGCCCTCTGCAAGGTAAGCTCCAACTTCCAGTTAACCTGTTGGAGGTTTCTTTTTTTTGCTGTGGCGACCAAACACAGTTTAACAATTTAAGCAAACACAGTTTAATTATCTGGCAAGCAAACATGAACTTTGACAAGAATACGTGAAAATAACGTGAACCGATTGACGTATTGGATTGGGTTCCCCCCACAAATTGTGTGTTTTGTGTGTGTGTATTGTGGGGGAAGAGAGTGGGAGTTTTAAGTAGGTCTACTAGTTGTAAGCAGATTTTATGACCAGCAGCTGGCGCATAAACAAATTGAAATATGAAAAGCTCACTGGCACACATTTTGAAGGCAGATGCTGCAGATGCACACTCTGAGCGCTGGAAAGATATTGGGGCAGCGAGGGACGCGGACAGGTGGGATAGGCGGTAGACAACCCACCCAGTCCAGAGGGCAAGAATTCACACATGCAACTGATTAGGGGGCGAGCAACTGGTTCCCTGGCAAATGGATGTTTGTTTAGTTAGGTGCTAAGAGCGCTGGAGATTTACGGATTTTCGTTTGCATTTGGGCCAGCTTTTATGGCCAATGCAGTCAGTCAGCCAGTCAGTCAGTCAGTCAGTCAGTCTATCAATCAGTCAGTTAGTCAGTCAGTCAGTCAGCGATGCATGCTACTTGGCGGCACGCTATCAAAGCCCATCCGGCTTTCAGCTCAGTTCGGCTCAACTTAGCCCAGCTTGTGTAGATTGGGTCGGTGGGGCAGGTCAAAGCTCCTTGAGGCAACTCTCCAATAAGGTTACCATCGTTCGTTGTGCCTGAATGGAGCGCAGCCAAAGCAGCACATCCATTTGCATATATGCAAATGTATTTGTGAGTGCTGTTAAATGTTGCACTTTGTGCGGCTGCCTGAAGTGGCCATAGTCAAGTTTCTGTTTCACTTGCTCTCTGTCCCAGTTGCAGCACTTCGCTTTAGGGGCTGGCCATTCAACCCTCAACCCTTAACCCTCAGCTCTCCTCATCAACAGGAAACAGCTTCAGTTTTCCATTTCGTTAAAGCTGAAGTATAATCTTTGTCATAATTTACAGCGTATTCAAAACTAAGCCGATTCGCCTTTTAAATTATATATATGATGATATATGATGATATCTATTATATTTAAACTAGCAAACGCCAGTTTCTAACTTTCATAAACTTATGTGCAAATATTGTTGACTTTAAAGCTCTAAGATCCATAGTAAATTGTGTGCCTTAAAAAAGGGATGATGTTTTTTTTTAAATGAATCGATTGAGTTTTGATTGGGTTTTATATAGCATAAATAATATTATGAGCTTACTATTATTATACAACATAAATAATATTATGAATTTAATTTAAAAATGATCATTATTAAAAAGCAAAAAAAAACCTTTTGATTGATGTTTAATATTGTTGGAGGAGACGTCGCCGATCCATTAGGTATTATTATTATTATTAAGTAAAAAGTATTAGCTATAGGCATGTCAAATTGTTTCTATAACTTTATGCAACTTGTCATGTGTCCGCTCATTCGGATCAAATCACTATATTATATGGCTGTCATAGCAGGACGATGTATGAAGAATTTCTTCTACTAAATTTACCATAAATTGAAATTAGTTTTGTTTCATTCTCTGACTTTCTATATAAATATATATCTGTGTGTGTGTGTGTGTGTGTGTGTAGGCACTACAACTAGGACCCTCGAGATCGATTACAATTGAAAAATGTATTGCACAATTTCATTTGAAGTTCGCATTTACTCCGCAATCCCTTTGAGCATTCGCCGCTGCATTTTAGATCTAGTTGGGTACCTGTGTCATCTCCTCTCCTCTCCTCTCCTCTCCTCTACTCTTCTGCTCCGTGCCGAACCGTCCTGCATCCCCTAGACTGGCTGGTTGACTGCAGCAAATTCCATGATGCCACTTTTAATTACCGATGCGTTGCCGTTTGCCCCATTGCCTGTTTTGGTTTTGGTTTCGGTTTCGGTTTCGGTTACGTGGCGCATGCCATAAACCTCTGCCCATTGCCACAACAGTCTCTCTTTCCATGTGTAGAGCAGCTGTATGTGTGTGTGTGTGTGTGTATGTGGTTTGTGCCATTGCCATGTTTGTTGTGATTATGGGCGCTGAGTGGCGCTGCCCGCGGCTACTGGCGCCAACGTCTGTGCAACGCCGACAACGTCACGCTGGAGGCCAATAGCCAAGACCTCAACGCGTAGACAATTTGTCTTGACTTGTTGTTGTCACTGTTGCTGATTGCTGTTGCTGCTGTGCTTGTTGCTGCTGCTGCCAGAGCAGACCAACTGAATGCACTCCAGACGGCCAAGTCTGAATTCCTCTCGTATCGGGAGCACTGCATCGCTTGGGCTCTCCCGCTGTGCTGATTGTTGTTCTGTTTGTGTGTGTGTTGTCTGAAAGTGAAAACACAGATATAAATATGTATATATATATGATATATATATATATGATATATATATATATATGTATGTAGCGGGAGCACTATGCTTAAGTCACAAATATATTTCAAATACCCTGTTGTCATTAAAAACGCGTAAAAAGCGTATGGCTTAACTAAATATATATTTATACCTCTCTAAATATATACAGTTGGGGGCGCTTATACGAAACTTGAAATATATATTTATCCTTTTACTGCAGCCAGTGCATATATGTAGATATCAGAGCCTGCCGAATTAGATCACTATATTATGATATATACCATGGGAACGCTCAATTGAGAGATGAGTTCGTATTTTGGCCAAGTTATTCGCAAACATTTGGATAAACTAAAGAAGGAACGCAGATTGCATACCCTTGATGAACTGAGTTAATCTGAGTTAATCTCACATCAACATTTTAGTTTGAACTATAATTATTTATTACTAGAATACCCTCTACAAGAGTAAAAAAAAAAAACCCATTAACTGCCTAGGTAACATTTGATTGATTTTTGAAATTATAGTTAAATTTAGATTGTTGACGGGTTGACTTCAATCTGGGAGGATACGCAATCTTCGGCCTAAGATAGTCTTTGCAGCTTTAGAGATAAAACTTTAATTCGTAAGCACAATAATTTCCAAGATTTTGACACTTAACAACTTAACTTAACGGCTAGCATTGACAAATAATAATACAGGTCATGTTGTAGTCGGGTATTATTGATTCGATGCACCTATGTTTGTCGATGGGAGTTGGTTGAAAGGGACACAGCCTGGCCGGATCGTTTTGGGGTTATATATGCGCTGCATATGGTGATGGATATGCGTGGAGCATATAATCATAAAGTTGCTTTGATCTTGACAGACGGACAGATGGACAGATGGAAAAGGGGAGCTGTCTTTAAATACACAAATGAACTGCATGCATATCTCTATATACATGTATTTATTTATCTAGTCGAAATACACACACACACACACACACAAACTGTTTCGATTTTGCATATGATAGATGGGGGAGGAGACGGGGGGCGGGGACGGGGGGCGGTGGCTGTTTGGGAGTGTTGTTTTTGGGGGGCTGCTGCCGGAAATGTCATAAGCATAAATTAAATTTTTGATAATTGTGTGTGTCGCGAAGCGTTAATGGAACTTTAATTGAAACTCACGACGCGATGTGGTAGCAGCCAGCGGCATGTTGCAGTTGCAATAGCAGCCGCCACATACATAGATGTGTTTTGTATCTTGTGGATGACTGAGAAAATAAAGCAACCTTGTTGCATGTCTTCATCACAAACGTTCGGTTCGTGTGTGTGTGTGTGTGAGTGTGTCTTTAATTATATACATATAGTATATGCATATGTATACATTAACCTCCAGATATATAGATACATATATATTTGTCTATGTAGATATGTGTCTTAGTTCTGAGCATTGCCAATTAGCGTAGTCAGGTCGTTAGTGGCGATCATTAGCGAATTTTCTAACGATCCACGTGCAAGGCGGCCAATTTGGACACACACTGTAGATACATAGATACATTTGTATCTAGCTTATTAATAGCTATAATAGCTATATTATTATACATGCCGCAGCTGCAATTTACGCACAACTAACTATGCACCGCACAGATACAAATCTATCTTATCTATCATACAAAGATCACTGCGATTATCCATCATCAGCAGCCCGAATGGATGCAAAAACCTAAGCATTTTCGCCATCAGCTCGCACAATTAAACACACTTATTTAATTAGGGAAGTTCACCAAATGGCAAATTATAGTCTTGTTATCTATACTAAAACTAAAAGCTTGTGAACAGCATAATGGTGGTTATTAATTGTAATCTGGCCAACTCTATACTTTAGATATATATATGTGTATATATATATATACATATTTTGTGTTATGCAGGTCGCAAAAAAAACAGAGTAGATATCATATGAATATCATATAGCCAGCGAATCAAACCGATTCTCTTTTGGATTCCTTTCAGTTTCGATCGGTTAAACTTTGTCAACGAATCAGGGAATATCTAATTGCGATTTTGGTTTACCGATTTATCAGGGATAGAAAGGCGCTTCAATAGATTAGAATATATTAAGTATATAGTTATCGGATTCGTATATATTCTATTTTATTTTTGTATTGATCATTTAAGTCTGATCTGAACCATATATTTTATATGCATTACTATTACTCCATCATTAATGATATATTTAGAAATGGAAGTGTATATGAATTTCGGTGTGAAAATGGACAGGTTTGTTTTTGGTTTTTCAAATCTGTTTTGTTGACTTGCCAACGATTTCTTGCGTCTACTAATTGAATTTGATAAAGCTGACTTGACGACTGCTTTTAATTGGCCAAAAACTCACACTACCAATTATCGGCGATATGAGAGCAGCCCGCTTGCCCCTGCCCCGCTCAATGCTCGCAGCAGCAGCAGCAGCAGCAGCAGCAGCTCTGATAATGAATGAATGCATTCAGCTTACCCAGCTCCAATTTGCCTAAGAAAGTTACGACTCGGGTCTCAATTAAGTGGCCGTTGTTGTGATTATGCCAAGTGCCGC